AACTACACCCTCTGACTTAGGATCCCTCACAAGGCTGCAATCACAATGTCAGTTGAGGGTATGGTCATGATAAGGTTCAAGTGGGGTAGTGTCGGCTTTTCAGCTCACTCAGTGGTTGTTGCAAGGTTTAGTTTCTTCCCAGTTGTTGGACAGAGGTTGTCAGTTTCTTACTGGCTGTTGGCCAAAAGCTTCCCTCAGTTACTTACCACATATATATATGTGTGTTTCTTCATGGGACAGCTTACAACATGACAGCCTGCTTCATCAAGTGGAGAGTGGTGAGAGACAAAAGTCACAGTCTTTTATAACCTAACCTTGGACATGACATCCCATCACTTTGCTATATTCTATTTGTTAAAAGCATGTCACTACGTCCCGCCCACATTCAAGGAGAGTAAATAATTATACAAGGGAATGAGTAGCAGGCAGCTGACTATCACACAGAGCATCTATAATTTTATTCCTGACCTTTGTGACTAATGCTTTATGCAACAGGTGTTTAATAAGTTTTACCGATGGTATTGAAAGACATTGTTGCTTTTTGTAACTAAGACTTATGCTAGTGTTAATCATTAACATCTACATTTGGTTAAAATTAGTTGACCCCTTTGAAATTTTTGTGTAATATAAAATGAGAAAAAAATGAAAAGGTACTAAATAGTCAGTTGGATCAGTTGGGAGTTCAGTACATGAATGCCACTCAATCATTTGGCAAAAATAATGACAACATACTAGAGAGGGAGGAAGAGAGTAATGTGATGGAAATTATCCCGATACCACTTTTTTTTCTGAATTTCACTTGAAATCAAGAACAAAAATTTATACTAAAATTCAGTTCTAGGTAATTTCTAAATTTGTTAATAGTTTAGATGTCTTAATTTTCTCCAATTAGATGTTTATATAAACATTTTAGAATTTAAGGCAGTTGCCAAGTTTGAAGTGAATTTCTGTGTAAAGATGCATAAATTTGAAGTAATGACGGTTTTAAAATTTAATTGTTTATAAATGTAAAAAACTCAGAAAAATATGCTTTTCCTACATTTGTTTTAAGTAGCTTTTTATATCATTTTTATGAGCAAAACAATATATAGGTATTAAGGCCTAACTTTCAGGGACTATTAGTGTGTTATAGCTATTTTATTTTTAAATTCAGAAATATTATACTTTGACTATAATAAATTATTTTTATATGCCTTTTCAAAGTTATAAACAGATTAAAAGAACATAATGTGAAAAGAGGAAAGTTCTGTTAGAAATAGTCCTGGTTTAGCTTAAGGTTTTATTCATTACTTGGGTCAAAATAACCTCAGCTTTATCTTTTTATGTGTGTGTTATCTATTTTTGAGATGTTTGAGATAGAATAAAGCTCAAGTTTCCAGGAGCAGCCAAATAATTGTACTTTGAATTTATAAAATCATTTCTTTTTAGATGACAATAATGAAGCATTTGCATTTGAGCCTGGCAACAAGTGCATTTGAAAGTTTGCTAAATGAATATAATTGTGAATTAAACAATAAGAAACATTATTATTTTAAAAACATTATTGAAACCATTACATATGAATTATAAAGTTTTTTTTCAGGTAATACATTAATTAATCAACTTTCTGTCAGATCCTTATACGTTTATTCAGCTATTTCCTTTCATAGACTTGTCTCATCTTCAGGTGTTATTTTTAATGAATATTTTTAATTCTGCTAAAGACTACATTATTAAGTTCTATAAGCAGGCCTAGTTATATATTTACATTTTATACCCTTTTCTCAAGTCAAGCCCATTTGGAATTTAAGAATTTGAAAGGTCATGTAAAAATTAATTTAAAATTTAGTTTAGATAATTTCAATTTTACCACATTTCCAACTGTTATGGTCTCCATAATGAGAGATCAAGCACAATGTCATATATGAACTAAATGTATTGTGTTTTTCAGGAAAGTGAAACCTTTTCTAAATATTAATAATGGCTTATGTGGTGGTTAATATGAGTGTCAACTTGATTGGATTTAAGGATATGAGGTATTGTTCTGGGGTGTGTCAGTGAGGGTGTTGCCAAAACAGATTAATATTTGAGTGAGTGGACTGGGAGAGGCAGACCCATTCTCAAGCTGGGTGGACACCATCTGGTCAGCTGCCAGCATGGCTAGGATAAAAGCAGGCAAAGGAACGTGAAAGGACTAGACTGTCTATATACATATTACCTTTGACCATATATGGAGAACCACAAAATATGATTAAGTTGCTTGGTTGTTGCTAAGTTTAGTGGACAAAGTGATGAAAGAAAACAATAAATTCAGGGATTCTAACTCGTGGCTCCAGAAGACATACTTTTCACCAAAACTTTGCAAAATAGATTTATGAGGGCAGCACCTGCATCCTTGAAGAGCTCTGTGATTGCTCTTCTCTGTATGCCAGATCTTACAGTGGGACTTGCAGTTACTCAACTACAAAATTTAAATACAGTGGGAATAATTGGATCCTGAGATGGCAGGGGCCAAGCGGTGGCACTCAACTGCCAATGGCAAGGTAGGTATAGTTACTGTAATGGACAGCAGAGGCAGAGCAGCAGTCAGAATAATCTGACTTGTGTAGGGCTCTGGCATTGGCTGAATAATCATGGTGTTCCTAGAAGTGAAATTTGTAGGAAGCCTACTGTATTCTTAATTTATATAAGCAGAAAACTTCTGGGTCAAGTGGACAAAAGACTAATTTAAATTACAAAAACAGACAATCACAGTCCCTCAATCAAATTCCAGACTTGAGCCAGTTTACAGACCCAGAACCCCATGAATGAAGGAATAGGCTGGGAAGGCCTTGAGGAAGGACCCCGCTACACTATACTACAAACAATTTATGTTGTTAATCTTTTGCCCATCCTTCTGCAAGGAGACCGCTGGCCTTTTACTAGGGTAACTGTGTATTGGGGAAAGGGAAATCATCAGACCTTTTACAGACTACTGGACACTGGCTCTGAGCTGATGTTAATTCCTGGGTACCTAAAATGTCATTGTGATCCTCCAGTTAAAGTATGGGCTTATAGAGGTTAAGTACTAATGGAGTTTTAGCTCAGGCTCAATTTACAGTGGGTCCATTGGGTCCCCAGACTCACCCTGTGGTCATTTCCCCAGTGCCAGAATGCGTAATTGGCATAGACTTACTTAACAGCTGGCAGAATCCCCACACCAGTTTCCTGACTGGTAGGGTGAGGGCTATTCGGTGGGAAAGGCCAAATGGAAGCTATTAGAGCTGCCTCTACCTAGAAAACTAGTAAATTAAAAACAATATTGCATCCCTGGAAGGACTGCAGACATTAGAGCCACCATTGAGGACTTGAAAGATGCAGGGGTGGTGGTTCCCACTACATCCCCATTAAACTCTCCCATTTGGCCTGTGTAGAAGACAGATGGATCTTGGAGAATGACAGCGGATTATCACAAGTTTAACCAAGTGGTGACTCCAATTGCAGCTGCTATACCAGATTTGGTTTCATTGCTTGAGCAAATTAACACATCTCCAGGTACCTGGTATGCAGCCATAGATTTGTGAAATGTCTTTTTCTCCATTCCTGTCCATAAGGTCCACCAGAAGAAATTTGCCTTCAACTGGCAAGGCCAGCAATATACCTTCACTGTCCTACCTCAGAGGTATATCAACTCTCTGGCTTTGTGTCATAATTTTGTTTGGAGACATCTTGATTGCTTTTCCCTTCCACAAGATATCACACTGGTCCATTACATTGATGACATTATGCTGGTTGGATCCAGTGAGCAAGAAGTAGCAAACACACTGGTAAGACATTTGTATGCCAGAGGATGCGAAATAAATCTGACTAAAAATCAGAGACCCTCTACATCAGTAAAATTTCTGGGGGTCCAGTGGTGTGGGGTCTGTCAAGATATTCCTTCTAAGGTGAAGGATAAGTTGCTGCATTTGGCCCCTTCTACAACCAAGAAAGAGGCACAATGCCTAGTGGACCTATTTGGATTTCGAAGGTAACACATTCCTCATTTGGGTGTGTGACTCTGGCTCATTTATCGAGTGACGAGAAAGGCTGCCAGTTTTGAGTGGGGTCCAGAACAGGAGAAGGCTCTGCAACAAGTCCAGGCTGCTGTGCAAGCTGCTCTGCCACTTGGGCCATATGACCCAGCACATCCAATGAGACTGATGGGTCAGTGATAGATACTGTTAGTATTACCCTGCCCTGTTTAAGGTCAATGGGAAACTAAACCCCTCCAGGCAGGACTACAAATTGTCCAGACCCTTCATAGGTTTGGGTCACTCCACCAGGTAAAAAGCCACAACTTGCTGAGGTGATTGCTGAAGGCAAAGGGAATACAGAATGGGTAGTAGAAGAAGGTAGTCATCAATACCAGCTATGACCATGTGACCAGTTGCCAAAACAAAGACTATAATTGTCGTATTTCCTCCTTAGTCTGTTAAGAACATGTTTGTGCATGTATACACTTGTATGAAGAAAATATTTTCATTTTAGTTTCTTTTTCCTTTATAATGTGACATAAGATTTATTGACTTCATATCAGCATTTAAATGTTGTTAACTTTATGTAATAGCAATTGGGTTGGGATTGGTGTGCTTCCAGTTGTACGAAAGATAGTTGTCTTATGTTAGGTGTAATTATGACCTTATTCTTTTATTTCTCTGAAGATTATATATGATTTCAGGAAATGTATATGGGTTCAAGTTAACAAGGGGTAGACTTGTGATGATTAATATTAAGTGTCAACTTGATTGGATTTAAAGATGCAAAATATTGTTCTGAGTGTGTCTTTGAGGGTGTTGCCAAAGGAGAATAACATTTGAACCAGTGGATTGGGAGAGGCAGACCAACCCTCAAGCTGGGTGGGCATCATCTAGTCCTACATCTTTCTCGTGTGCTGCATGCTTCCTGCCCTTGAACGTTGGGTTCCAAGTTCTTCAACTTTTGGACTCTTGGACCTTAGACCACAAACTGAAGGCTGCACTTTTGGCTTCCCTACTTTTTAGGTTTTGTGACTCATACTGGCTTGCTTGCTCCTCAGCTTGCAGACGACCTATTGTGGAACTTCACCACGTGATCATGTGAGTCAATATTCCTTAATAAACTCCCCTTCATATATATATCCATCCTATTAGTTCTGTCCCTCTAGAGAACCCTGAGTAATATAGCTTGGTTACTAATTTGTTCAATACTGGCTTTAAGGATATTATCATAGACTACATTTTGATAAACAATAGAAAGTAATATTATTAAATACTTTTTTGTTACTCCAAAAATGAAGATCAATAAAATTATTATTAAAAAGAATATCCACAAAAATTTGTGTTGACTTTCCCCAAGTGAACTGATAGGACAATTTAGTTATTCAACTCGATGAAATTAGCTAAAATATAGTGAATGAAATGGGCACAAGCGTCTGTAGGCATGATAGATATCATCCATGTGTGGAAAGCAAAATGTGTTAGGGGCCAGTAATATAAGATGTCAAGCTGTTGAAGATAGTCTTAGACATTACTTTTCCCAGTGGCCTGTCCCCCAATATCCCCCTTGAAACCAAGAACTTAGCATAAAGCTGGAATATTCACTGGATAATTTTTAATGCTTCACAAATAGATGATGTATTAGTCTGTTCTCACACTGCTAATAAATATATATCAGAGACTAGGTAATTTATAAAGGAAAAAGGTTTAATGACTCACAGTTCTATGTGGCTGGGGATGCCTTACAATCATGGCAGAAGGCGAAGGGGAAGCAAGACACGTCTTACATGGTGGCAGGCAAGAGAGCCTGTTCAGGGGAACTCCCATTTATAAAACCATCAGATCTTGTGAGACTTAATCACTACCATGAGAACAGTATGGGGGAAACTACTCCCATGATTCAATTATCTCCACCTGGCCCCACCCTTTACACATGGGCATTATTACAATTCAAGGTGAAATTTGGGTGGAGGCACAGCTAAACCATGCCACATGATGTTACTGTTCATTAATGATTGGTACATATGCATGATGCTTTCTCTTATGTTATTTGTCCCTTGAATTAAGCATATAAACAGTAGCAGTTTCTTTGGGGAACCATACTGCCTACATTTTCAGTTTTTCATGACTTGTGTGTGAAACACAAATTCAAAGGTACAGATGCAGAAAGTCTTTCTTGTCTTGTTCTCTGATGCCACACTGGGAACACTAGACATGTACTCATCCATTACTAAAATGGTATTTTGTTTTCTGTTTCAGGAGTTTTCTCCTTGTACACAACTTTAAGATTGACTTGCTCATTCATTGCGGTGAGTAGTAAGACGCAAACCTTCAATCTCCATATGCCTCAGGTAAGTCTTAAAAGCAAAATATGTTCTGCATAAAGGTGGAAGAATAATGATTTAGAATCTGTGTAGTACAGAAATAGGATAATGTCGAACCTGCTCCTCTCCTAGGCCTGTGGTACTTTGGGTGCTGGAATTAGGCAGTTACTACCAAGGATTGCTGCAAAAGAAGCAGTGATGTTAGGTGAATAAATATTTTGGTACAGAAATGCCAACAATAGGTGGTTCATCTCAAATAAAACCAATAGATCAACTGCCCAACTTTGTTAGCTTGCTAGGAAGTTAGTTATAATTACAACTAGAGTCTAAGGCATATTTTCTAGTCATTAACATATTCCATACAATCTTGATAGCATTATTCCAAAAACCAAGATCATATCATTAATTTAAACCTATTCCATGCAGTGACTATTCAGAGAAAGTAAATAGTATCTTCTCTTAATAGATGTATGCTCTTTTGTACCATAGATTATCTTTACAGTAGTAACTTGGCACTAATTTGACTTTCAAAATTGAACTGCTGCTGATAAATCTCTTAAAAAGTCTTTTTTATATGTAGTAAAATGTTTAAGAAACATTTAAAAAGTTAGAACAAAAAGATAAAATGAGAAACAGAATATGAAATAAATCAGTGTAAGACCTTGGTATTATACCAAGGTCAGGAAGACAGTTCAGTAGAATTCAAATTATTATTGTATTGCTGTTCTTTACTTTGGGAAAGGTGTATGTGTATGTAAGAAGTTGCACATATAGTGCCAAACAAATGTCTTCAAATTTAAGAACAATGCCCATGAAAGGAAAATCAACCTAACAAGAAGGAAAGAAATGTTAGTATTTATAACAGAAGAAACCTTAAAAGGAAGGGGTTATGATCTTGTATAAGAGTATACATATATAAGTAGATAGATACACATATTATAAATATATTGACATATGAACATACTTAACTACAACATAGCTGATATTCTAAAAATAAAATATCGAATTGTGATTTTGTGTATGTTTCTTTTCAGTAAACAAAGGGTATTTAAGGAAATATAAAAATTAATGCAATGGAAAATATATATTTGCCTGTGATAGTACTAAAATTTGTTACTGGATATTTCAATTAAACTTAAAAATGTAAAAAGACAAAACGAGGAAGCAACAAAGAGATTTGCAGCACAGCAAAAAATGGCCACCAAGAGATCACATTTGTCTTCTCTGCACCTGGCTTGGTCTGACAGTACTTCAAAATTGTACTGGGGATTCTGGCACCATTTTTATAAAGGTAAAGATTGGGTAACTTGACATCCAAAAGAAAGTTAATATAATAATTGGTTTTACATGTGACTATATCCTCAGTTTCATCATATTTACTAAAGGAGAAAGAAAAACCTGACTTATAAATGTGGCTCACCTTATTTAAAATTACTTAGCCTGTGGAATAAATAAATTGTGGTGGACAGAATCTAAGGTTGCATTCATGGTCCCTGACTCCTGGTGTTCATGTCCTTACATGACTCTTTCCCCTAGAGCATGGGTGGGAAATATGACTTGCTTCTAAGCTCTAGCATATGCAAAGGGGATGAGATGTATGTGACTGTGCATACGTGGTTACATGATTACATGACATAAGATGAAGTGCCGTCTTGCTGGAGTCTCTCACTGCCTTGTTGACTATGAAGATGGAAGTTGCCATGTGGTGGGCTGCCTATGTTGGGAGACCCACAGAGGAAAGAACTGAGAGAGCCTACAGGCTGATGGTGGCCTCCATCCAACAGTCAGCAAGAAATGAAGCCTTCAGTCCTGCAGCTGCCATTTTCGACTAAGCGTTCCATCTAACGTGAGTGGAACTGATATTTTTATAAAACAAAAACTGAAATACATGTTTCTATATAAATCTCCTCTTATAAATAAAATGAAGTAGTGGAAGGATATTTGAAGGTAGTGGTGCAAAAAAGTGGTGCCAATGTGAAAGGGCAAATTGTAAGGGAACAGAAATCTCTTTCAGTGGATAAAAGAATAATACAATTAAAAATGTGATCAATTAACAGATTAAGCTGATAATGAATAATAAGCAAGAGGGTACTAACAGTAAAATTAGGGTTGTACTCCATCATTACTTGAACCCAAACTAACTTATCAATGTTCTTCAGGATGAGAAGTCTGCCATCTTCCATCAGCCTTGCTTATTTGGGAACCAATTTAACTCAGTCTAGTATTAGGCAGTGGCGATTGAGGTTTGGAAATAAGTTGTTTGGTGTTCTATAGCCAAAGGTTAAAACTTTTGAAATGTTTTCGATGCCAGCAATGCTATTGCATGGTTGGCTCTTTAAATACTACCTGTGGAGGCCAGTTTGCTTGACTTTATTGGGCCTGGGTGTATGGAGTAACTGGGGCTTCATGACTCTCTATTCTGTGTCTCTAATACCAGCTTTTGAAGAGTGAAGAAAAGTGTAGATCTCCCTGTTCTAAACTTCAGTTGGAAAACCAGTGTTCCTGTTTACTTTTCTCATTATTTCAACCCTTGCTAAGGGTTCCATGGCTGCTGGTCACCCTGATTGATGCCATCCTATAATTGGAATGACTTTTTAATACTTATATAGAATTGGTTTCTAGTCCCCCTCCCCCACCCTAGTTCTTCCTTGACTTTATAGTAGCTTCTCCCCAGAAGTCTGCTTTCACTCTCTTAGATCATGTTCCTTTTCTTCCATGTATCTTGTAGCCAGTGCTGTGTGGTATGTTCTTTCTTCATCATGGAATTCAGTATGAGGGACACATATTTTGGATCATCAAAATGCAACGAAGGACTTATAACAAATGTTTTATTTTATGGAGACTTTTTTTGCCCCTTGGATTATGAATTCAATGATTGAAATTTGAAAATCAATGAACCTTGCACTTGAAATAATATATGCTCTAATAGCTTTCCCAAATAACAAATTTAAACTGGTTCCTCTGAAAGTATTCTTATACTATAGTAATTTCCTCTTTAAACCTTTAATAATTACACATAACCTATTGCTGAAATAGGATGTAAACTTTGTACCCAATGTTTTGCTTCTATTATTTTCTGGAATGCTCTTTCCCCATTCTTATGGTTCCCCCAAAATATACACATATAGACTTTCTCCCTCTCTTCTGTTTCCTGAGGTGCCACCCATTCCTTAAGTCCTTTTTCATTTTCCAATTTCACCCTGAAGGCTTTTCTGATTTACTTAAGTAAATAGTCTGTTTGTCTTTCAGCCTTCACATCTTGCTTTATTCCTCTGTTATGGTATTTCTCTTAATCTTTGCTTATATTTGTTGTTTCTTTTCTTCTTTATTAGATCCTAAGCTATCTGAAGGCAGGGGTCAAGCTGTTATGATGTTTATGTTACTTAAGATCTAGATCAATAATAGCTAGTTAGTTAATAGATGTGTATTGGGTTAAAACAAATTAACCCTCTTTAGCCGTGCATGAGGCCCTACCAACAATGAGCTAATGTTACCTTAAAAGAGATTTCCATTACACTTACTCATGAAAGGCTCTTCTCTTTTACTGTATGTGACAAAATGAGAAGGTAAAGGTAAAATAGTGACTTTTCTATGAAGCTAAATTTATTCAAGTTTACAAAAAGCCTTTTATTTTGTGTTGCTGCTCTTTTGACTTGTTGAAAATTAACATTTCTCCTTTTTTTTTGTGGTGGGAAGTGCTTGATTGTTATAACAATAAAGGTTTAGAATCTCTATATTAGTTTCTCTAATTTTTTACTGGTCTGTGACATCAGAAGTCTTGGGAACTGCTGATCTAGGGTGTTCGTACAAGCCAATATAACCAAACAAAAGGGTTAAGGGATTCTGGTGTAACCATGTATGGAGAAAAGAACAATGGACTAAGATGTAGGAAAACTGATGCCAGCCCTGACGGATCTTACAACTACTTATTTAACATTGGTCTTGGCTTTATGTAATTAAGCTGAGTAAAACTGCCTCAGGTATCTCTTGAGGTAGATGTGAGACCCAAGTAAATAATCAGGTTGTAAAATGTTTTTGTTTCTGGTATAGTTTAAAAGCAAGGGATTGTGTAGTGCTAGTTATCGGTAGTGTTTTCTGTGTCTTTAGTGTCAACAGTATTTCCTTTAGAGAGCCCTTTCTTCACCAGAAGCAAGTCTATGATTTTCTACGCTTTGAATTACAAATTATTCCTCACTCTTCTAGTGACATTGATTTGATTATATATCATAAACTGTCCAGCAGGATTTTTATTGTCAGTTTAAAATGAAATAATAACTTAAAAATCAGAATGCCAGTGGTAGATATTTGTATAAGTGATTCCAGCTGAAATGATATATGGACACTATTTGTATTTTGGAGGCTCTAGTCATGTGAGAAGTGAACTTTAAGTCTGAAGCATTCTTATGCAGATATTCTATATGAAGGGTTATTTCTGCAATGCAAAATTGTCTTTCACTTTGCATGAACAAAATCAACACAAATAGAACTGATTGCATTAATTCACTAAGTGACTACACAATCTGCTGTGTATAAAGGTATGTTGCCAAAATATTGAATTGCAGGACTATTTGTTAAATGTGAGAGTAGAGTAGGGTTAGACCTAGAAGGGTAAACTTGGCCACTATATTAGTCCATTTTAATGCTGCTAATAAAGACAAACCTGAGACTGGGAAGTAAAAGAGGTTTGATGGACTTAACAGTTCCACATGGCTGGGAGGCCTCACAATCAATGTTGAAGGCAAGGAGGAGCAAGTCATGTCTTACATGGATGATGACAGGCAAAGAGAGAGAGCTTATGCAGGGGAACTCCTCTTTATAAACCATCAGATTTCATGAGACTTACTATCACAAGAACAGCACCAGAAAGACCTGCCCCCATGATTCAATTACCTCCCACCAGGTCCCTCCCATAACAGATGGGAATTCAAGTTGAGATTTGGGTGGGGACATAGCCAAACCATATCAGCCACTTACTCCCCTCTTCTGTGTCATCGTCATTAAAAAATGATATTACACAGGCCACACATAACATTTTAAAGTTGAGAAACTTTGTCTTTTGCCCTGTCTTCCCTTAATACCTTACTGTAGTTTCCTAAAAGCAATAGGTATTTCCATTTTTTACCTCTCAGGCCCAGTGGCCTCTGCTACTCTCTGACTTTTTACAGACTGCTAATGAGATACCACCACTCTCTTCCCTCCCAGGAAGTTAGTGTTACAGGCTCCTGAGCGAACCTTTTATGTTTTACTTCTTGTCTAACAAAACCATACTTTTTGGGGCTGTTGATCTCCGGTAGATGTTGAGAATATAGCAGAAAAATCAATTCACACTGAGATGCCACTGCTAATAGCTGATAATGAGGTAGGCATCCCAGGTTTTATTTATAAGACCAAAAAATGGACTGGACAATGTTGGACTCACAAGAAAGGGATTTAGATAGAGATCTTTCCTGAAGCCTCTGAAATTATCCCCTGGAGATCAACTTAATCTCACATATAATGGGACCTCCCTTTCTAAATTAAAATTTCAGTGGGTCACTGCATTGTATGCAGAGATATTGTTCTGAATCAAAAGTAAATTTTTTCTGTAGAGAAGATTTTTAAACTGTAAGATGAATGCAAATCCAATCTAATTCATCTGAAAAGGCCAAATGAGAGCTCTAGCTGAGATTAAAAATGGTTGGCTCTGGTCCACATCCATTTAAAACAAGTAATAGAAGATCAGTAAATACCAAAATGGAATGGAGGACAGGAGAATCCATGGTTTGGGGTGTATGAAGTCCTTAATTATCACTTACCAAACACGTATTAAACACAGGGTGACACTAGGGTTTGATAAATGAAACACATGGTTCCTGAACTACAGAAGCTCACTTTCTAGGGAGTAGATCAGCAAATAGAACATTATTTTATAAATATGTCATAAATGCTCTATTAGAGGCAAGTCCAAGATATTCTGAGAGCTCAAAGTACCACCTAACGTAGACTGGGAATGGAAAGACATGGGGCAATATCTTAGAAAGCTTTTATTAAGTAAATTAATTGAGTTTGGAAGATGGAACAAAGATTAAAAAGAGAAATAAAGACCACTCCTACTGTCTTGTTTTCTATCTTAATTTGAAAATCATTAACCCTGAATTAACTCATTTGTTTGTTTTTAAAGTATTTTCTAAGCTCACATGTATATTAAAGGACAAAGGTTGAAAAAGCACCTAAAGTAAAGGATGAAAAACTTTTATGTTCCTTTTGAGTGCCCAACTGTGTGTGCCTTTTGGTAATTATAGGCTCAGTTACCATGTGTATATTCCTACCAGTCCCACAAATGGTAGTTAAAGGAGAAGAGCAAAGTAAGTGCAGCTAGAGACTATTTAAAGTGGTTCAGCATTCATTAACTTCAAAACCTCTAAATTAAAACAAATAAGGTAAATTATGATTATGGATTCAAGACACAGGAATGGATGTGCAATACAAATCTATTTGGTGTTCTCATACTATAGTAATTTGCCAGGGAGTTATAGAAACTCTAAGATAAAATAAATGTATCTCTGGAGAATCTATTTTACTGAAAATTTTAGGAATATAGTTAATGGTAAAACATAGAGATACACAGCAGTCCATGATGGATTGATACATAACACACACACACACACACACACACACACACACACACGCCCTTCTTTGGTTTATTTGAGTAGAACAGTTTGAAAAAATGTAGCAGACTAAAAAGACACAGAAGAAAATAGCAAAACTATCAGGTATTTTATAGTCTTTACTGAACTTCATTTTTCTTCATTGTATAAATATGTTCAAATATGCTATCAGATTCAGAGCACAAATCCTGACTCATAACTCTTCTCTCACTCCTTATAATTGCTATACTTTAAAGGTCTTTTAGAAAAGAACATTTAACTTACTCCACTCAACTCTCTTTTGGCTGACATTTGCTTTCACTCTCTCTTTGTCATTTTCAGTCATCACAAAGGCTTCCAGAAAAGGCATGAAAAGAAGAAATACAAAGGAGGACTGTTCAGCTGATGTCAAAGGACTAACTCTTGGTCTAAATTTTTCATTTTTCAGTGAATTACAACATGCAGGACTTTAACAATGACTCTGAATACATTTTAAGGAACAAAATAAAAGTGAGGATTGCCACTTTACAATCTCCGATCCAAGAAGCTACATGTTCTTTTAGGCAGATTGACACAAGCTTTAAGTGAGCAAAGGGCTGAAAGCAGAGTATTTTCAGTCACTGAATTATACATATTATAAATGTGACTTCTGTTGAATGTGAATTATATCTCAGTAAATCTGTTATAAAACAGAATGTATAACAAAAAATTATAAAACAATAAAATTACATATTGCTCTACCTCATAAGAAATTACAATATGTGTTTATATTTCTTTTTCTTTTGTTTACTATTAATCCTCCTAGGGAACCTATGAGTTTAGATAGTATGTGCTATGGATAAAGAAACACACACAAAATGATTTACTTGCTATATTACAATACTTAGTTCTATAGACAAGCACATGTTTTGCAAATCACTAGGCTCCATTTGGAAAACATAATTTCATATTTCATCAATTTCTTTTATTGTTATTCTAATCATAGACTTAAAAACAGAGCTTCGAGATCTCTTAAATTCAGTCTTTTTATTTTACTTACAAGGACCCTGAAATCCAGAGGAGTTAAACTCCAACATTTCAGCACATGACTAATGGATCTGGGTTTAGATCCGGGGGATAGTCTCAAGTCCAGCGAAAAGAGCACTGGACTGGGAGAAAAAGATCGAAATTTGAGTCTCAGAACTGTCACTTATCAACTTTCCCACTTATAATACTTATGAACGTGTTTAATAGTTAAAGCAGAATTCAAATATTGGCTGTCATTATTGATAAATAAAGAACTTCCAAATTGTTTATGGGGAAATTTAAATTGCCAAAATGATGTATGTTTCTCATCATATTAGTCCAAGATGGATATCAATTTTGCCTAATTGGTTTGAATCTCAGTGCTATCATCTCTTAGCTGGATTATCTTTTGTTTTAGGGAATGAGGATTTGTCATTTTCAATCCCCAGTATACTAGTTCTTGTTTTTTTTTAGAATTGCCTTTAAATTATAGAGATGAAGTCATGTTATAGATGAGCCAAGTCATGATGAGGTCACCTACATACATCTACTTCATAAAGCACAGCTTTATTTTGAATTTCAATGTTATTAAAGACCATTGGTCCAGCCTGCATAAATAAAAGTCTTAGACCTTTACCTGGAAAGAATAACTTATTGATCTAAAGCCTCATTGACACAATGACACTTAGTCTGCCAATTTGTGCACTGCATACTATATCACCATAAGGAGAAAATTATTAACATTTATATGACCATGCCATGAAAGAAAGCAAGCAGCTTAGGTTTTCCTGAAAATAAAATCAGTGCGAATTTTATTTGAAAGATTGGAACGGAACTTCACTAATAGAGCTACTTTACACTGAAGATACATCCATGTCTTAAAAGAAACATCTGATCCATAATCTGTAAACTTACACAGGGTTGTCCTTCAGAATTATGTGAAAGAAGACTAAGTGCACGATGACTTGCAGTGTATTGGATGCTAGCATGTTTCTGGGATGATGTAGGAGATGTGAAAGCTAATCATTTCATTCTGGAGTGTTCCCTTGGAGGGTTAGGAGTATTAGCAGGGCAGTGTCATTTTCAAGTGGTGTGCATGTGTGTGTATTCTCAAATGCTCAATGAAATGTTTGTGAGTGTGTAGGTATACACAAATATTTCATTGAACATTAAACATGTTAATTAAGCAGTAAAAATGTTAATGCTAAACATTCACATTAAACACATGAAAGCACAAAACCTTCTAATAAAATTGTAACTAGAAATAGTCTTTTATTTATGCATGTCTTAGTATTTCAGAAGCCTTCACAGTTTTCATAAATGAATGATAATAGTGGATGCTTACTGAATATACCAAAGAAGTTAGATATTAAACACTTTTAATGAATATTTCAAGAGGGAAAGCCATTGTAAACAATACTAGAATGTCAATACAAAGATGGGTGAGACAAGAAAACAAAATAAAGTAATGGCAACAAATAAAGAACTGAAGCTAAAGAAAAACAGAGGCAATGAATTATGACTAAAGCAAATCTATATAAGTTTATCAATATTTATTGGTAGCAATGCTATATGAAGAAAATTGGCCAATGTGATAAATTCCAAAGATCAATGACTGAAGCAGCTGTAAAGTTATTATAAACTAGTCGAAACAATTGATGTTCTCATTGGACCCAAGTACAGCTATAATTCATGCTTATACAAAGATATATTTAGTTTCTTGAGTGCTTGTGAATACGATAGATTAAAAATCAATGTAAGATTATCCATTTTTATGTACTTCATAGCGGATACATATGATACATGTGATATTAGCAAACAAGATAGACTCCCTCATGGTTGTAATAACATTTTCATAGACTTTTCAAGTTAATTTCTTGGATTTATCCAATTGTAACTTTTCTCCCTTTTTCATCTTTAATATAAACTATTGCCTAGGTTCTATCTTTTGACTAATTTGATAAAAGAGAGTGTCTCCCTGATACAATAAATGTGTAGATTTAGAAATACTTTAAAATGTCAAACAAGTAAGGTTGTTGTCTATACATTGTTAAATAATAAATATATAATTTTAATAAACACCTAACCAATTAATGAACAGAGAACATTATTAAAAACTGCTATCAATCTAATCTCTATACTAATGTTTCACTGGTTTAAAGTAGAAGATGGCTAGACCAAATGGGCAATCTAGATTTAAAGACCGGCACAAATGATTATGAGGGCTTGGGTCTTGGAATTTAAAAAGTGAAATTTAAATTTAGTGGGTTTGGTCTTTGTGACCCCTTCATTTTGATAGCTCTTCATTTTACTGACCTCTTCTAAGAACAGTTGCATTAAGCTTAAATTATGGAGACCTTAAAAAGGCGTTTCTACTGAGAAGGATAACTTACTTTTCCCATCTATTCCAATATAAATTAATAAGAAATATACTTTCTTTATAAGATTCCCCTCCAAAAAAATTGGAGAATATTTTCTTTACTATCCTTCACCAGTGTGATACACTGAAGTACACTGTTGTGTGCCAAAGCTAGTCAGAACTAAGTAACGTGTGTCTTGGGTCCAGAGTTCTCTGTTGACTCATTAACTAGCTCTGAAAATGTCCTTTCATCCTTGGGGTGCTGGGTGATTTGTGAAGCATACCTTCTAGCCTGCCACATATCTTATCTCCTTAACACTCCCTCCTAATATCTCTGCAGTTGGAAGTAGAACTACTGATTAGTATTCCATCAATGCTGAGCAATTTCCGGGCAACAGGAGAGGTGGAATGGTGTGGTGCCGAGAGTCTGGGCCTCATGAGATATGTAGTGGGACAGGGGCCATCTGGCTCACAGGCACATCATAGTACTGCATGTTCTTACTATTAAATGTAAGAGTCCCTAAACTACTGCATATACACCCCAGGCAGAGTCTGAGTCATACCAGACATTTCTATAATTCTATGATGCTATGCCTCTCTTCCTCTGTTGTCCCTTGTAGAGTTTACCCAAAGTTAGCAGTACCAGGTGTCTCACAAAACATCAATAGGACGACAATCATTATCACAGACATCATTGATGTCTCCCCACAAACCTGGAACTTCTCTTTATGTAAAGAGAGTTAAACAGCACCACCCATCTCTACTTTGGAGATGGTACCTGAATTCCTTCCCTTCTTTTGTTGCTTAGTCTAATGTTTCTGCTGCTTCTTTACTAGGAGAGGGCCTGGGACTCCCTCCTGTAATTGTAGCTTTACTTATGATTCAGTAGAATAGCCAGTAAGATTGGGAAAGAGCCCATCACTTGTGAAAGAAGGACGAGGTGGGGCTTACCAAGACATCCTGATTCCCTAAGCTCTAATTTGGAGTATCTTTAATTATAGCATTGCTGAACAATCACACTACCTAATCCACGTTAGTTTTGAGTTAACAGGTCCAATTGGGGTGGAACGTTACTTGGCACTGTGGCCTAAGGATGACCTTGGGAAGGAGGTGGTCACTCTTGCTGGGAACCTTCACCTAGAGTCCTCCAAGGAGAGAAGGCAGAAAGTGAAAAGGTTAGTAAACCTATGGCCAGAAGGCCTGGTCTCTAGGCTTCCAGGTCTATGGGCATTTTTATGAATGCCATGACTGCTAAAGAATTATAGAGGAAAGACTCAGGCCATACACAAAGTCAGCTCTGCATCGAAACTCTTGTCCCAACCCTTCATAACTTGGGTGTTCTACACCCAAATGCCCCAGAATCTCCACAAAGATGCCCACATCTTAGAAGCTTTCAGCTGATGTGCGGTCCTGTAAGACAGGAATTTGGCAGAGCTGGCAAACCTTCTGTCTTAACATCCCACTCCTTAAATTACATGTGTTTTCCAAGAAGTTTTCCCTCAAATTCCATGGATCAAGTGACCCTGATCCTAGTGGTAGTAGGCTATCTGGGTAGCCTGGTGGTGTCACTCTAACATCAGTCCTCCCTTGTTGTGTACTTACCAGTCCTACTGACTCTTCCAAGAGCTGGCCAGAACAAATCATCTATTTCATGTCTGAGAAATGGTGACAATACATAGGAGTTGGCTTATTTTACTTTTAGTTTTGTTTACTCTTGTACTCTCAAAGAGGCAATGAAGAAGGCATAAAGTATTCTTTAAGAGCATAAAGTCCCAGTGTCTTCTTTTGAATCTCTTGAAGTCTGCACACCCAAATTTGGTGGTCTCTGAAGCTTGCGCAAAGTGGGACATCTGCCAAGTCACTTGGGTTTTCTGCCTTTTGTACTATTTTGCTTCAGAATGGAGTATGTACCATTAGTTTCCACCTATTACCACCTAAGGAAATTTAGGTACATTCTTCCAGGCTGTATTTCTTACTGCATTTTTCAGGCCCAATTTTTAGTGCAGCAGGCCTGGCCATGGCCTACCACATATAACCATCCTGGACCAGTCTCTGGAAACTGAGTTCAATGGAATTGCTTTTAAAAAAAATTAAAGGGAGTCCCTGAAACTGAAGTTGGTCAGTTTTACCTGAGGCACCACACTTGGACTATGCTGGAGATGGATGCATTCTTGGTAAAATCAGGAAGGCCACCAAGCAAGCACTGAAGAGCCCTGCTTGTGGATGAAGGGTGCTGACGGTTGTTTTTATGTTTTCACTCAGGTTCTGGCCATGATGTTCAGATGCACTGAATTCTACCCAGGT